ATGGCAATATGTGGCAACACTATAAACCATGCTTTTTATACAGAAAGGGCAATTCGAAGCCCATATATACCTAAGTTGCGCAACAATGGAAATTGGCCGCCATTTTCGATCAACGTCGCCTGCGAGGTTACGGCGGTTCTGCGTGATCCTCGGCTAGGCTGGCGCCTTCTGCTATCAAATCATAGGATGCTCGGCGTCTAATTGCAGCGGGAATAGCGAACAGTGCAACTATTGAAGCTATCAGCAGATGCCGAGAGAAGAAACAAAAGGGGAAATAATTGTAGAGGCTGGAAATCCGGCCCTGGCAGTTCGTTGTGTGAGGTTAGTCAAACGAATAATGTCAAACTGACACCAGGAAAGACAGGCTGTACATAGTTTTTGGATGATGTCATAATTAATTATTTATATCAAGTTGCCGATCCGACTGAAGTTAGCTCAGAAAAGTTACCGGTATCTAAAGTTAAGTTGAACTACTAAGAGAAAACTGTATTTAAATCATCCTAAGTAATGCAAAGTCAGAAATCAGTGCATTGGATGTATAAGATTCACTGTCATGATTGCTTGGAGTCCTGCGGTCACAACAATTCATAGTAATTAGTAGCAATATGAATAGACAATTCGGAGCTTGGTGGAAATAATGATTTATCTTTTGAATTCTGATCTTCTGAACTGATTGCGTGTTTAGTTAAGTCACTGTCAATTATATTTTGTGGTAAAAATGGGATGCTGAACGCTTGCTATTTCAAAAGTAGCCTACGTTCATTTTATAACCTACAACACATTCCATTTTCAGACTCATTTTTGAAAAATATCAATTTGAACCGAAGAGGACGGATAGATGGGAAAAAATAAAATGGGATATAGACAATATCGAGGAGCCAAATTCATCAAAAAATTCAAATCATCAAAACCTGAATTAGCTAAAATATTGACTGAGATGAAATTTCAAAAAAGAACAATAGGCCTACAGTAAGTTTTGAATGCCAAAGTAATCTGTAAAGTCAGTTTGAATGTCTTGAAATGAATCATTTTACCTACGTTTTAGGTTTGATCAAAACATCCTACTCCAGGTGCCACCAGGACAAACCAGTTGTGTCAGAAGCCTATAATGTTAGGTCATATACAGCACAAGAGTGTGAGACTGCCATGGATTTCGATTTTTTAAAAATTGGAGGGGGGGGAGTATTTCACCCAAATCGTTTTTTTTTGGGGGGGGATATCGCTCCCTCCTGTCCATACCAAAACAGTTTATTTGCTGTGACTATTTTATTAATGACTGTATTTTTTGGTTAACAAAATAATAAAATCTCTCTCTCTCGTTGTACTGCCATTGGTAAGGACGTTTACAATTCAGTTATGCAGCCAGAGTGTCTGAAAAATGCAAATTTCTAATGTAACATTGACATCAATATTTAGCTACAGTCCCATTTGACGTCGCCTTCACTGTCAAAAAATTTAGTTTGTTTTAGTCATTTAGGCCTGTTGTAGTGTGAAACTGTGTGTGTGGAACTACCAGAGTTGGATCAATTCAGTTTAATTACAATTACTCCCTTGAATTTTTCAATTACATCACAATTACTCCATACAAAAAATATCAAATTACATTTATAATTATAACATTTTAGTTCGTATTTACATTTTCACTTGCTCAAAAACGGTTGAATTGCACTTGATGAAGATTATGCTGCGAAAGTTTCTGACCCAATGAAGATGGGGAGAACATCTCTTCAAGTGCGCTATCAAGTTTGGCGAAGCCTTGGTTGAGAACTTAGGTTTCCTTTGGCAGTTGTTACAGCATGCCTCAGTGCTGCTCAAAGATTTGAAAAATTCTGACAATGGTGCAGGAAGTGGTACAACACAGTTTTCGGAAGAGTTTGTTTGATGTTCATCCATTTTCAAAATACTAAGTTTAGTCTAATTGAAAGTGTAAAGCTAAAAATTTTTAGCAAATTACAATTACACAGAATGAAAATTACTCAATTACATGAAAAACTGTAAATATTAATTACATCAATTACAATTGATCCAACTCTGGTGTCTACTATTTTAATGGAAAAATCAACATGGAGGTTTTGTTGCGCCATCAGCGCCTTGGTTATTAGTAAATTCCGGACAACCGGGAGGCCAGACGTCGATTCCGGGACTGTCCCGGCTGTTCCCGGGACGGTTGGTAGCCCTAGCATCACCAGGTCTTGAATAGTTTTAGATTTTGCCTACTTTCCCGATTTTCCGTAGGCTATATGTGTGTGTGTTGACTTGCATTGCCTCTATATTTGTTTTAGTGTTACGAAAAATCGAAATAAACTTTACTAACCGTGCGTTGCGTCTATATTATGTTTGTTACTGAGCGGGTGGGTTGTTAATGTAAGTGCGACTTATGGTGCGCCATGGGAATATAACTACTGATTTAAATCTGCATCAATAGCCTTTTAAAACTACTGAAATTAGGCTTGGTGTTTTGCAGTTTTGGCAAAGTATCGAGTTCGGTATGACTGTGAGAAATGTTGAATATCACATGCTTGATACTTTACATCCCATTCAATAGTCAACAGTATTCTTTTATTTGCAGCATAGCGTTTTCTACGCTAATGTCCTATGTCATGGATCAATAGTTCAAAAGCCACATTTTCGTGGTTTCCTGTTCTCTATTGCCTTCTAGTGTATACTGAACAAACTGTCCATTCATTGGAGCCGGCACCCAGTTGTCTATCCGGTCCTTGTGTACTATTGATAGGGACTGATTACAATTACATATCCCAGGCTGGTTAAAAGGATATTACGCCAAATGAAATTTAGTTACAAATAGCTAGATTGTAACTAAACTCTCCTAGCTCTATCCATCCAAAATCCAAGGATAGCAGTCGTTCTATGACATTCGGTCATTAGAATTTCGCTGGAGATGGCCAATGCTGCCAGCACCACCATAATAATCATGTCATATAAACACAAAAAACTACCCAGTATTGCTGTATTGGGAGTTGTTCCTCAACAATTTTAGGTTCTGGGCTCAGCATTGGTCTTGCATATACAATGCTCGGTGGTGGTGGCGCATTGTGCTAAACGTATGGTTCACGGTTGGTTACTGCTTCCTGCACTATCAAGTCCATGCTTTTGAAAACAA